TTTTTTTTTTTGTAGATGTGATGAGCATACACTACACGTGTCATGCCATCGTGTTAGCAGAATTTCATAGATGTGATGTGCATACACTACACGTGTTATGCCATCGGTTTGTAGAATATTGTAGATTTTGTTTCCGGTGCTATTCATAAGCTTGTTGTCATCACACTTATCAATATGCGACACTGCCATCCGTTTGTGTGGGTTAGCAAACTTTTGTGGTCATTCCTGTAACATAAGTATAGCGATCATTATCAAATAGAAATTAAAAATCTCGTAGGGTTTACTAGATTTTATGAGATCCAATCCCTTACTGTTTTAAAACATAAAGTAAACAGATATTGCAAGTTCTTACAATCGAGTGACTACAAGACTACTCATGAATACTTAAGGCATCCTTAAGTTATTTAAAGATACAACAAAACCGTGGTTAGCTAAAGGGTAGCACATGATTAGCATAAAGGTGTAACACTCCAGATCTACGGTGTTTACATGTCTCCTCACGGTTCCACAAGGCGTCCCGTCGTTATTTCATGGTTCTCTTACGGATTTATCAAGGACCTGTGGTTAGCTCAAGGATAGCACGTAATTAGCTCAGAGGTACCACTCTTTGGTGTATACGTGTCTTCTTACGACTTCACAAGGCATGCCTACAGAATCTCATGGTTCTCATATGGATACGAGGTTAGCTTGAAGGTAACACGTGATTAGCTCAGAGGTAACACTCCAGATCTGTGATGTACACTTGACTTCTGATAGCTCAGCAAGGCGTCCCTACAAAATCTGATGGTTCACAATTCACATACGGATACATCATGGTTATGAGGTTAGCTTATTATTAGATTATTAATATTAGAGTATTAACACATGTTAAACTCAGAGGTACCATTCTCTGAATTTCGTATACCACAATAGACGGTTATCGCGTCAGGTAACGCGGCACCCCGAAGCGAGTCACTGTTCCCGTCGTGGCTGATGGAAACTGGGCTGTAGAGGCCAGTGGTTGAAAGCGCAGCCTGTTCCGATCCCCATTTGCTCGGCTAATACCTGACTATACGGCAAAAATATTAATTCCAAAACTATGACATAAAGTTTTATTCTCTCCTATCAACTTACTACCTCCTCAACGATTATTTCTTTTGGTGTATCGAAACAACCAAGTAAATGCATCACTTGTTCTAAAGTTGCCAAAATACTATAGTGGCTTTTGTCTATGCACAATATATGTAGTAACACGTATTTATCTATTTATTTATTATCTCAATTTTGTACAACAATAAAGTATTATTTTTATACCGTATTCATCTATAAATAAATTCAATAGTTTTTAATTCTTCTTCAATCATTTATTAGACGATTAATTTTCTAGACCAAGCTAAATGATACTACATCTCTTTACACTTTATTTCGATCTGGCAAAAGGTTTAACAACCGATTTTTTATCTGGCAAATTAATTCTGAGCCTTTAGATAGTTAAATAGCATGCTATTCAATTCAACATTGCCGATTGGCACCGTTTAAAACAACAATAAAAATATCTGGTAATAATAAATTTATGTTGTGAATAGTTCAATAAAAATAATAATAATAAAAAAAAAAAAAAAACTTTCTTAAAATGATTTGAAATAATAATTTGTTTACCTGCACAAGTACGATGCACACTTAGGAACGTAACCACTACCGGCAGCCGTATGACGTCCAGGAGAGTGTGAGAGATAGCATATCTAAAAACTAGCCTACCTGAAATTCTTGTTCAAAAATGTTGCTAGCTCTTAGAATATATTTGACATAGACATGACATGATTATATTTAGGATTATGTGTTCCTGTTATTAGTTTACCAGCAACGGACATTTAGATAACTTCAAACGGTGATGAGTGTTGTATATGGGATGCAACCGGAATTGTTCTGAAACTGATAAAATATGGATTAGACAATCTATTTATAGAAGTGCGAATAAGACTTATTTTCTTTTTAACCAATAGGATTCGTTTATTTTAAAGAATATTTTCCTCAATCCGACATGTCATTCTTTGAAATTAATAGGATTCGAAATAAAGAAGTTAGCAATCTGTAATCTAAGACGTTACCTATATTCAACACATAAATCAAATTTTTTAAGAAAAACATATCAGAGGTAAATACATGAAAGAAAATCTACTTCGTACTTAGATCTTTTCGAAGAGTTAAAGACTGTTAGAATTTCTTACCATAGAAGTTCTTTAAAGAGTTTAAAATTCCTGTAAATGGTAACTATTTTCAACATTACTTAGTACTGCCTCGTAACCAAGAGATCAGTATTAGTAGGTTGGAGGTTAGAAATAAAGGAACGTTAAGCCGACATTTGACTTGGGTGTATTCGGAATGTGCGCTGGCAATATGAAGATATTGACAAGCTGTCGACGTAAAGACGTGGTACCGACTTCACCACGTTCCTAGGGTTAATCCATTTGCATCCGCGTGGTCTGATTATTTAGAGTTGATAATTGTATAACCGTGACCTAATAAATTAGTGTGAAATAGAAGCCGTATTTGTTAATTACAGATGAATCCAGACGAACGCCCCTCTCTTGTCTGTTAAGTATATAGTTCTATAGGATCGTTTTATTTAAGTATGGAGAGAACAGGCACAGCCGTTCAGAAGTTTATTATGATTTTACAAGCCATCTTGTGACCTGAGTTTCAATTTTCACCTTTGGTTAAAGCTAAAGAGGTGTCGTGAACACTAGAAAAATTTGAAATGAATTTTTGTAATACACCCTGCAAGACCGTTCAATAGTTTTTCTTTGTTAATGATTTTGGAAATACATAGACGATTTTATAAAATTTTAAGGCTTTGTGGAGTAGATAAATATTTAAATCTTTATAAATAATTATTACTAACACTATATTTAGTTTTTAGACACCTTTATCTAAAGCGTGTTCTAATTTTTAGAACAGTATGTACAAATGGGCTTCATTGTCACCTCGTACGATACGAGTACATATTTACAATTAGCATTATTGTAGAAATAGCAATCTCCTTAGGACTGACATTGTTTTGGATCTATTACAAAATGAGCTAGACCTAATCGAAAGGTCTTTGTTTGAAGGGAAACGGGAGGTTGTTTTGAAACGGGAGGTCCGTTTTGGATTAGTAATAGCAGCCACAGAAATTATTATAGATACGGTGAGAGTACTTAACTTTTGTCACCTGCATTTCCAATAACTCGTGCAGAGTTGTATGTCGAACCAGGCGATTTCATGTAGACGATCCGGCGGTTGAATGTGAAGCGTGAGACGTCCTCGCTTCTGATGTGAGAGCGAGGGGATCCTCGTGGAAGAGACCAAGAGCCTAGTACCTTGAAAGGCTTTCGGGTCCGGGCGTTTAGTATATCGGCGACGTAGCACGGGTTTCCATTTTAAAGAAAAGAGGGTCTTTACTTATAATGTTACTCGTTTATTGCTTAACAAATTCCCACAATGACTCAAGAATTGTTTAGCAGAGATTCTACCAGAGTGACCCCTAAGAGCGACCAATGTAGAATTAATTCAGTATGATTATGCTCGGCCTTTTATATGGTAGATTCTGTTTTACAATTGTAGGTACTTGAACAAAAATAATCACCTGATATTTTGTTAAGACTATTTACATTGATGAAGTGGGTAATTTGAAAACATTTACAATGGTTTCTTAGAACAATTATTAAAACTTAAACGAATTCGCGGAAAGGCTTATTTTCTTGGTATGATGAATCTCCCGGCGCGACATATATATAATATTATAAATGCGAAAATAACTCTGTCTGTCTGTCTGTTAAGCTTTCACTGGAACTGATTTTAATGAAATTTGGTAGAGAGATAGAGTTGACCTTGAGAAAGAACATAGGATAGTTTTTATCCCAGACTTTTGAAAGGTTCTCTTGGAAACGCGATATAACCGAACTCGATGCGGGCGAAGCTGCATGATTTTGCTAGTTTTTGGCTCGTCTTAATCCGTTTGAATATCCAGGAATGAGTGCAGAAATATATATTAAACAATAGTTAATCGTATGTCTGCAACATAATGTATGACGTCTGTTCCTGTACAATACAATTGTGTATTCCCGAGGGAACTGCAAGGAAATCCGGGATGAGTATAGTATATAGTTGAAAATCATTTTGTATATGTAACTTAAAATTGTGTATGAAATGTATTTTCACCATTAGTAATAAATTAAACACTAAATAATTATGTACTGTTTGTTAAAAAAATGTCTTAAAAGTCGTTAATATCTGTTACATTTTTTATTTATACTTTTGGAGTTTACCTATTAAAGACATAAATCTCCGTGATTTGAAGTTGCGACAGAATAATTGACATATTAGTTAGTTGTCAAATCTAATGTAAAAAAAAACGTTTGTATCAACAACTACTAATAAATTAAAAATTATAAAAAAAAACATTGTCCAGCAGAAAAAATTGTGAATCTAAACCATTCCCAGATCCCCTTGAACATACACAAAAAATTTCATTTAAATCGGTCCAGTCGTTTGAGAGAAGTTCAGTGACATACACACTCACAGAAGAATTATATACAGGGTGACTGGTGTATTACTATCAATATTTAAGGAGTATACTCGGTACATGATTCTCATTCGAATTATGCAAAAAAAATAGGTACTTAATTTTTGACCAAATTTCCGTATAAATAAATAAAGTGTGGACACGTTCCAAGTGTTCCAAGTGTGGGCGTGCTGATACAACACCACGCCGCCGCACGCGTGTGTGTGTGTGTGTGTATAACTAATCTGTAGGGTGTTCACACGATGCGTAATTAATTACATAACTTTTGGTTAACTTTACTTAGAAGTTTATTAATATTTATGTTATATTAATTTTTATTTCGTCATATATGATCGTCAAATATCACGTCCTCAAATATCGATAGTAATTCACCAGTCACCCTGTATATATGTATAAAGATGTATAATCTAATTATTATTTTCTCATGTTCTAGATGCGTCGTCGGGCGTAAGTCGTGATGCAGGGCGGGGCTCCGGTCACTGACGCCGACCAGGCTCAGTTTGAGGCGGACAAACGAGCTGTTTACAAGTACGTAAACACCTTAATACGAGTGAAAACTACACGTTACACGTACACACTACATACACCATAGTAAAAGACAAGTGTAAATAGTGTACACAATCTCTAGTTTAAAATTGTTTAAAATTTTCTGTGGTTTGTACATATAACTAAATCCATTTTTATTAAAATCTCTTACTTTCTAGTGTACGTAATATTACACTATATATTAAGTATCACAATATTTTAAATCTATATAATGTTAAACAATGAAAATAATTAAATTTGAAATCAACTGACAAACATAACTTCCAAAATTTCATCATTTTTATATATTACAATTCAAATACACAAAATCTTTGCATATGATCGACTTCAAATCAATTAATATATCATTTTTATGATAGTCATATGGTATTTGATATTTCCTTCAGAAAATATCTTCATTTTTATATATTACAATTCAAATACACACAATCTTTGCATATTATTGATATTAGCATCAATTATGTATTATTTCAATCATATTTATATCGTATTTCCTTCAGACATCCCCTATTTCCACTCCTGGCGCTGCTGTTAGAAAGATGTGAGCAGGCAACAGCTGGGGCGGAGCCCCCGGCCGCGGATGCCTTCGGGGCTGACCTGCAGGCCTTCGTACAACACCAACGACGGGACCGGCGCCCCTTCTTAGTAGACGATCCTGAAATAGACGGCCTGATGATTAAAAGCATCCAGGTGAAAATCTACTTTAATTCATGAGCACTAGAGCTTAAAATCATTATTTTGTTGCAATGATTTGATCTAAAAGGTCGTGGTGGAGTTTAAACCAGATTCTCATGTATGTGAGCGTAGGTTCGATCTTGGCAAGTACCAATGTGATTTTTACGAGTCATATGTACTTTATAAGAGTATTTAGACATCACTGATTAATGCATTGATGCTCTAACCTTCTCCATGAGAAAAGAGGCATCTCAGCAGTGGGCTCTGATAGGCTGATGATGATGATAAGGTAATTTATAAATGTTGTCATAGTGTGCGGTAATGATTTAAGAATTGATCATTAAGAGCATCCAGGTGAAAACCTACCTTATTTCATGAGTACTAGAGCTTTATATCATTATAATAATAAACGTTTATTGGTTAAAAGATTACACCACTACGAAACAAATAACAAACAACAAAATAAAAACAAAGTAACACTTATCCTATGTATACAAAAATGGAAAATAGAAATACATTACAACTACAACAGGACAAATATTAAGTTAAAAATCAATAATAATAATAATAATATGTGTGCAGTAATGTAATTTAACCAAAATGAGAACCACTCAGTGAAAAATAGAAGCAATGTTGCTTCTACACTGATTTTCAATGATCTTTTTTCATTCAATATCATTTTCTTCCAATGTTTGCTTTATATAGGTACGTTATCGTAGTTATCTTAATGATTTAAAGGACGCATGACTTATGTACAGCTGGAATTTTATTTCCAGGTGCTCCGCATACACCTGCTTGAGCTGGAAAAAGTCCAGGAGTTGTGTAGAGACTTCTGCGGAAGATACATAGCATGTCTGAAGACTAAGATGCAGAGTGAAAATCTACTTAGGACCGATTATTCTGCTGGTAAGGTTTAAATATATATATCCAAAACTATATTTAGGAAGTCTATGTCTATATCAAAATGGAATTTCCATTGACAATAAAGTCTTTGAAGGAATTTATTATGTAACGTTCATGATATAGTATCATATATATTAGTAATATTTATATGATCATAGGCCAGAAGTTGACACAAATTTGTTAAAGAGCTGATACTCTTACTGCTTGACTGATATTAACCGAACATAGCTACGAACTATCTCAAGGAAACTGGCTATCAAATGACAAAACCGAATCAAAATCGGGCTATTCGTTTGAGAGCTGAAGCCACATACATATACAAATCGTCATACTTAAGTACCTATTATTTGGGTCAGAAGTTATAAATATAGGTCTTCATAGTGGTGTTATTTTTTTACAGGTGGAGTGGAAAGTAACAACAATCTATCTGGAACAATGGATGATCAATCCAGCACATCTAATTCACCGCAGTATCAGGTTAATACAGACATATGACAACACACACACACACACACACAGTCAAACACACACATACATATATATATGTACCAGCTTTCCGCCCGCAGCTTCGCCCGCGTGGAGTTCGGTTATATCGCGTTTCCAAGAGAACCTTTCAAAAGTCTGGGATAAAAACTATCCTATGTTCTATCTCAAGGTCAACTCTATGTCTGTACCAAATTTCATTAAAATCATTTCAGTGGTTAAGGCGTGAAAGCGAAACAGACAGACAGAGTTACTTTCGCATTTATAATATTAGTAGGCATGTATAGGAAAGGTCACCCAACAAAATTGAATCTTTCACACACAATAATCCATGTTCTATAGCAATAAAGTTGTTTATTACCAAATAAATGGCCTATAATCAGCAAAATGATATAAAAATAACTAATTAACTTAAACAATAAAGAATTTTTTGACTCATATGATAGATTATTAATTAAATCACTATGCAAAAAGCAGTTATCTACTAAATACTTTTCTATACAATTAATAATATACAGGGTGACTGGTGAATTACTATCGATATTTGAGGACGTGATATTTGACGATCATATATGACAAAATAAAAATTAATATAACATAAATATTAATAAACTTCTAAGTAAAGTTAACCAAAAGTTATGTAATTAATTACGCATCGTGTGAACACCCTACAGATTAGGTATACACTGACACTCACACATACGCGTGTCGTGACGTAGTGTTGTATCAGCACGCCGCCGCACGCGTCCACACTTGAACACTTGGAACGTGTCAACACTTTATTTATTTATACGGAAATTTTGTCAAAAATTAAGTACCTATTTTTTTTACATAATTCGAATGAGAATCATGTACCGAGTATGCTCCTTAAATATTGATAGTAATTCACCAGTCACCCTGTATAAAATATACTAAAGCAACTGATAATTGTTTTCTGTTCATTAGTCCCCTGCCCCCCCGCAGCCGCCATCTTTTCCCCCGCCTTACCCCGCGTTGACTGAGCTAGCTTACCCAAGAGATAGTGGTAAGTATATAATAAATATAATAGCTATTTACTTTCTTAATATGTATTATATACATACTAGAAGACCCGGCGAACTTCGTATCGCCCTATAATCAAGAAATATCTGTTACGTTTTTTTATTTATATTTTTGGAGTTTACCTGTAAGCCATAAATCTTCTTGTTCTGAAGTGCAACAGAATGATTGACATATTAGTTAGTTGTCAAATCTAATGTCAAAAAAATGTTTGTATCAACAACTACTAATAAATTAAAAATGAATTAAAAAAGCATTGTCCAGTGGACAAAATTGTGAATCTAAACCATTCCCAGATCCCCTCGAACACGCACAAAAAATTTCATCAAAATCGGTCCGGTCGTTTGAGAGAAGTTCAGTGACATACACACTCACAGAAGAATTATATATATAAAGATATATTATCGTTCCAGCGTCCCTCGTAGTCCAAGGTTCAACACCTATTGGTCAAATCGGAGCCGGTTTAATATCTACCGATTCATTTACAGGTGAGTTACATACAATTCATTTTTCCAGGTCTTTGTCATTATTTTGAGATCTAAGATTTTCAAGTATTCATTTAAATGTAACTTATATTTTTCGGATATACTAACTTTATTTTTGATAAAAAACTACAGTGAAATCACATCTCGTCTTAATGATCACGGTTGCTATAAAGTAACCAAAACGTCGGGAAAATGTAGTTTATAATCAAAAATAAAATCGAGTAATACATCCGAAAAATATTAGTTTCATTTAGTCATTTTTATTACATTACTTTCTGAGAGTATTTAGACATCACTGACTGATGAAGGAAAACATCGTGATTAAACCTGGACTTATAGTTTCACAATTATAAGTTTGAAATCACCACCCCGTCTTGAGCGAGCGTGGTAATTAATGCTCTAACCTTCCCCATGTGAGAAGAGGCAGCTCAGCAGTGGGCTCTGATAGATAATGACATTTTTATTACATTATCTTAGAGTTGTTCTTCTTCTACCTGGCAATTTCCCAGCTTTAGCCAGGGCCTTACATGCAGTGAATAGTTTCGGCTAATTGTTTTTTACGACCGGCCGCCTGCCTGACATCAACCCTCTTTGGGAATGCATTAATCAGTGATGTCTAAATACTCTTAAAGTACATATGACTCGGAAAAATCACATTGGTACTTGCCAGGGCCAGGATTGAACCCGCGCCCTCATGCATGAGAGGCGGGCCTTTAACCACTAGGCCACCACTGACTAAGCTGTTCATCATCATATCTTCACAGGTACAAACTCTAATTCCTGTTCATCCGTATCCGGTTCCCCCCCACCAGCTGATGATGATGATGAAGGAGTGAAGAGAGGAGTACTCCCGCGACACGCGACACAAGTCATGAGGGCTTGGCTGTTCCAACACTTGGTGGTGAGATTAACATGCATACGTATAAAGATATAGAAGATATACAGGGTGACTGGTGAATTACTATCAATATTTAAGGAGAATACTCGGTACATGATTCTCATTCGAATTATGTAAAAAAATAGGCACTTAATTTTTGACAAAATTTCCGTATAAATAAATAAAGTGTTGACACGTTCCAAATGTTCAAGTGTGGACGCGTGCGGCGACGTGCTGATACAACACTACGTCACGACACGCGTATGTGTGAGTGTGTGTGTATACCTAATCTGTAGGGTGTTCACACGATGCGTAATTAATTACATAACTTTTGGTTAACTTTACTTAGAAGTTTATTAATATTTATGTTATATTAATTTTTATTTTGTCATATATGATCGTCAAATATCACGTCCTCAAATATCGATAGTAATTCACCAGTCACCCTGTATACATACTAGCTGTGGTGTTACCCGCGGATTTCCGGGATGTAAAGTAGCCCATGTGTTATTCCTGGACGTCAGTTTCCTGTATACAAAATTTTATCAAAATCGGTTAAGCCGTTTGAGCATAAAGAAGTAACAAACATACACATACACTCACAAACTTTCGCAATTATAATATTAGTAGGATATATGAATTACTCAATCGATTTCGATGTGATTTTACAAAAAAGATAGTGAAATAAATAGAAAAGCTTAATACATTGTATGTAATGTTATAATAGGAGATAAATTGTCAATAGTTATTTATGTTAGATCATGGTTTTGAATGTAAATTTAACTGTTAATGTTGAATACAATCCAATAGGACTATAGTTAAATCTTCTCACTTTTCATTTGAATATTTCATGAAGCAAAAACAGTTTGAATTCAATCTTATACTTACTGAGCTATAAATAAAGCAATTACGAACACATTTCCTTAATTTATACCTTTATTATATACTTTTTAAATAACATCTCAAAAGAAATATTGGAAGATGTATAAAGCTTAAAAAAAAGATTTTTTATTGGTTATATCATCTTCCATTGACGCGCAAAAAAATTGTAACTTAAATCCCTAATCATGATTACGACCATGTTTTTTTGCATTGGACCATATTATCATAACATTTCTCATTTCTAGAACGTTCTTTCTCTACAGCCACATCCTTTTTTGACTATCTTATCATTTAAATACCTCATTTCTAGAATCTTCTTTATCTCAACAGTAGTATTAAACCATCTTATTCTAAAAGTCCTTATTTAAGAAAGAACAAAAAAACACATTTATTAACATACACACAAACAAAAAAAAATTATACAAAAAAGGATATAAAAACAACATTACAAAAATAAAGAAAATGGATATAATTGATATCAAACTTGTGTGCAGTCAAAAGGAGACAGCTCAGGCTATTTCTAGAACCTTCTTTATCTGTAAAGTAGTATTGGACCATCTTATCATAAAATTCCTCATTTCTAGAACCTTCTTTCTCAATAGCCACATCATTTTTTGATCATCTTATCATTCAAATTCGTCATTTCTAGAACCTTCTATATCTCTACAGTAGTATTGAGCCATGTTATCCTAAAATTTTTATCTTTATCTTTACAGCATCCCTACCCAACGGAGGAGGAAAAGCGCTCTCTAGCGGCGCAAACAAGACTCACTCTGCTTCAAGTCAATAATTGGTTTATCAACGCACGAAGACGTATACTCCAGCCAATGCTAGATTGCCAAGAAAAACCTGGTATGATAAACTAACTATTAGAAAGATTTATATATATATATATGTATATATATATATATATTGCAATTTAATTGCAATTTATTCATATATGGATAGGTTCTATGTATGGGCCAATGTAGCAATTTAGACATTTTCATTGTTTTGCTTTAAACACTACATAAAACTGTATTCTACAAAATCCATTTAAAATGTGTATTTGTTGGTGGAAAGATTTAGTTTTTATTGCTGTAAAAGAGCATAAGTAACACTTTTTAGTAACAAACTAGTAGGTATACAAAAATGTTTATCAATTTTAAATGTCGTACATGTATATCATAGTTGGTATACAAAGTTTCACAGCATCAGTTGTATGTACAAGATACATTAAAATCAAATTTAAAACGCCTCTACTGAATAATTGTCATTTTGCACATTGGACCTTATACATAGAAGCCATATCTTATTTGTAATATCATGATATATTGAGTCAGTGGTGGCCTAGTGGTTAAAGGCCCGCCTCATGCACGAGGCCGCGGGTTCGATCCTGGCAAGTACCAATGCGATTTTTCTTAGTCATAAGTATGTAGTTTCTAAGAGTATTTAGACATCACTGATTTATGCATATTCCCAGAGAGGGTTTTGTCTGGCAGGCGGCTGGTCGTAAAAACAAATAGCCAAAACTATTCATAATATGTAAGGTAGACTCTGGCTATAGCTGGGAAATTGCCAGAAAGAAGAAGATATATATATCGTGTATGTTTAATTTCCAGGTGGTAAGAAGAGTAAAAACGGTTCATCTATCAGCAAGCGGTACTGGCCTGATACTCTCACTAATCAACAGTTCACAGCTGGTAAATATATATACTAGTTTATACCCGCGACTTCGTCTGCGTTACTTTCAGAATTATATACATACTAGCTGCGCCCCGCAGTGCTACTCGCGGATTTCGGGGATGTAACATAACCTATGTGTTATTCCTGGACGTCAGCTTCCTGTATACAAAATTATATCAAAATCCGGTCAGCCGTTTGAGCGTGAAGAAGTAACAAACATACACACACACTCACAAACTTTCGCAATTATAATATTAGTAGGATAGCTGACCGGGCGAACTCTATTCCTCCTTAAAGACAGTAGATAAGATTTTGGATTTTACTTACTTATTTTTTTCTTTTTCAATCGGATGAAAAGTATCTCTCCACCTATCTTCATCTAAACGCGTACAGCCGTTATCTTTTATATATATAAAAATGGATTGCTGTTCCTTAGTCTCGCTAAAACTCGAGAACGGCTGAACCGATTTGGCTAATTTTAGTCTTGAAGAACTCCTAGAAGTCCAGGGAAGGTTTAAAAGGTTAGCAAAATTGGAATAATTGCCGGGAAAACCCTAAAAACAGCTCTTTTTTATTTCCCATACAAACGTTTTTTTGACATTAGATTTGACAACTAACTAATATGTCAATCATTCTGTTTGATAGAAACAGGCAAAACCGGATTATTTATGGCCTCTAAGACGGAATAGAGTTCGCCTGGTCAGCTATACCTACATATATTACTCTTGACCAAACTAACGCGGACGAAGTCGCGGGCAAAAACTAGTTGAGTTATAAATAGTGTAACTAACACGACTTTCTTTTATATACAAACATATAATTTTGATATATAATATATTGTATATCTTATAACTCAATACTATATCATATATCTCCAATGAAGTGAAGTCTTATAATATATGTGATAAGTTTGCATTTATTTAGTGGTGACGTCATCAAACATCCAAGATGGCGGAACATTCAAAATGGCGGATAAGATGCCATTAATACAATCAATTAATTAAGAGTTGATGACTCAGATAATAGGTCAATTTAAATACAGTAAAAACTTTATTAACCGGACTAATTATTGTCGATAGGCATTCGGATAATCGAAAATCCGGATAACTAAATGTATGAAGAAAAGACCGTTTTGTGCTTATGTAGTACATAATATTATATGTTTATATAAAAAAGTAACAAATACATATCAACGACAATCAATGTTTATTAATAAATAATTAATTAAAGAATATATTTTCTTATATTAGATATACATATAAATACATGTATGTGTGTATTAAAAACAGATTTAATTATGAAATAAATTACAATATGTGTTTGGTTATTTGCAATTGGTAATCATAAATTATAATAATAAGTTTAATTTGGTTAGAATATTTGTGTAATAGTCATTTGACGTACGCCACTCTCAACACCACTCTCTTATACTTTGACATTTTTTCTTGTCCGGACTTGTCCGTAGTCCGGATAATCAAATTTCTACTTATTATTTGCTTATAAGCTAAATATTTATATGTATGACCAGGTTTGCTGTCATCTTCTGAGGATGAAGAACAGGAGAATGAGCAGTCAGCCGATGAGCATGACCCTCAAGACAATGAACAGTACACAGTGCAGACCATGCACTGAGAGGTCAGTATAGAGTGGTCGGAGATATGGGTGGTGGGTAAAAGATGAATGGATGGTGGGTAAGAGATGAACGGATGGTGGGTAGAAGATAAATGGATGGTGGGTAGAAGATAAATGGATGGTGGGTAAAAGATGAATGGATGGTGGGTAAGAGATGAACGGATGGTGGGTAGAAGATAAATGGATGGTGGGTAAAAGGTGAATGGATGGTGGGTAGAAGATAAATGGATGGTGGGTAAAAGGTGAATGGATGGTGGGTAGAAGATGAACGGATGGTGGGTAGAAGATAAATGGATGGTGGGTAAAAGGTGAATGGATGGTGGGTAGAAGATGAACGGATGGTGGGTAGAAGATAAATGGATGGTGGGTAAAAGATGAATGGATGGTGGGTAAGAGATGAACGGATGGTGGGTAGAAGATAAATGGATGGTGGGTAAAAGGTGAATGGATGGTGGGTAGAAGATGAACGGATGGTGGGTAGAAGATAAATGGATGGTGGGTAAAAGGTGAATGGATGGTGGGTAGAAAATGAACGGATGGTGGGTAGAAGATAAATGGATGGTGGGTAAAAGGTGAATGGATGGTGGGTAGAAGATGAACGGATGGTGGGTAGAAGATAAATGGATGGTGGGTAAAAGATGAATGGATGGTGGGTAGAAGATGAACGGATGGTGGGTAGAAGATAAATGGATGGTGGGTAAAAGATGAATGGATGGATGAATCTAATTGGATGAATATGATATGACTTTTTTATCTAATGAAGATGTAATAGCTTAAGAAAGTACTTACATATTTCACTCTTAAAGTATATACAAATTTATATTGCAATTTAAAGTTTCTAACTAAATCTTACATATTTCATACTAGCTTTCCGCCCGCAGCTTCGCCCGCGTGGAGTTCGTTTATATCGCGTTTCCAAGGGAACCTTTCAAAAGTCTGGGATAAAAACTATCCTATATTCTTTCTCAAGGTCAACTCCATCTCTATACCAAATTTCATTAAAATAAGTTCAGTGGTTTAAGCGCGAAAGAGTAACAGACAGACAGAGTTACTTTCGCATTTATAATATTAGTAGGGATGTGTGTTGAGTGTTGGTAAGAATATTTCTTAGTAAAACAACAAAAACAGTCGCTGTTTCAAACAAGGAGTTATTAGATCCATATCATGTATTCAAAGTTTCCCAAATGTCAAGGTTTCTGAACAGGATGCTAAGGGTCAATGTATCTTTGTATCACCCGAATTTTTTCCCAAATCTTCCCATGTAAATAACAAATAGAAAATATGTGTATATGTGTATATGTGTGTGTGTGTGTGTGTTTATGAGTATGTGTGTGTGTCTGTACATGCATAATGAACTACATTTAAATCATTGTTCTCTATACTTTTTAATACATATTAAATTTTCTTTACAGATCCATGTCAGCTGACTAAATTCCCTGCGAATAAAAGACAATGTGTATACCATAGATGTAAGCCATGTTAACAAGTATACGTAATATTACCTCACTACTTTAAAAGGCTTGTATTTAGTTTAAGCATAAATGGTTCTATTCAATAATTTCCCCATAAATTATTCGTCAATTTTCTATATATAACCGGTTGTGACATATTCTTTTCACCGACTGACAGGAATGTAGTTTAAGAATATTTTTCCATAGAGCCCACATCAAACTATAGACAATACCGTCCATAGACGAAAATATTTATTTGTATAAATAAGTTTTTATATACTCATCTGTTCGCCATACTAGTTGTAAGATTGATATGTATACTCTGAACTTGTATACGGATGATCCGAGATTGTAATAGGTTTAATGGAGTTTAATTCAGTATTTTGATCTACTGTTAGCAATAATTATTATCGTTTATTTTGCTATACTGAGGGGCCCTTATGGCTCCAGGAGGTGTTCTTTGAACAGCCTGTGATTGTAGCGCTTCTTCCATTCTATTTTAAGAAAAAAGAACTGTATTAATATATAGTATAAGAGATATTTTTGTTAAAATTTACTTAGTATCAAGCTATTATTCCATTTCTGTGAATTAGGTGTAACTTAAATTAAGGTGGCCGACATTTTTTTTTAACTATCTTTTTGTTATTTTTTAACTACATCAAAGTGTTTAATGTAAGCAGTTTTTAATACGATTTATTATTTTTTATATATTTTCTGTGTTAATTGATTTATATACTTCATTTCAGAAACAGTAAACTTGAATTTGTTTTTATATAAATGTCGGCAAATTCTGTTATACGATGAAACGGATATACGTAAATATTGTGAAAAAGTTTTTATAATAAAATTAATAACTATAATCGGTAATTTAATGAAAAAATATACGATGAAACATGAAATTCATCCTTACTATTAAAAATTGTCCATTTCTAGTATACCATAGTATACAAGCTTTTAGTATTAAATGTAAGGCATAATTTTACTAGTCAATAAAAACAGTCGCAAAATTATTATTTTTTTTTTTGATTTAATTCTTTTCTTTTGTATCTTATCCGACGTTGTGAGAGCTGTCAAAACTGTTGACAACAACTGTCAAAACTCTTGACAGCTGCTGTCAAGGAAGCGTCGTTAATGAACCAGTCAACAGTTTTGACAATTCAGTCGATGTCTTGTACAGTATACGCAAAATAAATTTTTCGCATGCCATGATGTTATTTTATTTATGTTACAATCATCTTATATCTTAAAATGAGCAATTCTTATAGGGGTTTTCGTGGCGATAAATCGGTCTAGCTAGGAATCATTTTTAGAAAATGTCATATTATGAAAAAAAAATAGAAAAGCATTTAAAATATGACTCTTCCTGACATCTATTGGCGAATAGTAATACTAATTTATTATTACTTTTACTAATTGCTTTAACGACTCAACAGCAGATGGCGTTGTTAAACATCAGGAAGTCAATGAGTGTTTTGACGTTAGACTAATATACCAGTGCCTATAGCTTTTAAAACATAATTAAATTATAGTAGACTGAAACCCGTTACAAAATGAGTCGAATGGTATAAAAATTAAAGGAAAAATAATTTACGGGCGATCTGAGGTCGGCAAGGGTATTTGGATGGGTATTTAAGGGTAAAAAACGGGTTTTCTTGATTTCCGGCAAAACTAAAAGTCCTATGGAAAAATGTTATATGGCAAAGTTGTAGGTAATAAAAAGACCTAAAACTGTTATACTAACATTTTTTTCACATAACCTCAAAATTTAGGTGAAAAATTCGAATAACCAAGTTTTTGATTTTTTATTTTTATCTCTTACAAAAAACTATATTTTGTCACGAAATTTGGTGAAAACTTTTATTTTGATGTTACAAATACACTGTAATTTATTTGATTAGAAATATTTATTTTTTCAGCTTATATTTAATAAATATCGAAAAATCAGCGTCATTTTCAATCGAAAAATCACCCGTCAAAGTATACGGGTTTTTCAAAAATTTTGTGTGTTTTCTGTTCGTTAAAATCTCTATTTTCCGATCAAGAATCAAGAAATCAAGAAAACCCATTTTTTACCCTTAAATACCCATCCCCATACCCTTCCCGTCCTCAGATCGCCCGTAAATTATTTTTCCTTTAATTTTTATAATATTCCCCTCCTTTTCTAATGAGTTTCATTCTACTATAATCTATTTTCACTTTTCGTTAATTTTAAAGGCTTCTGCCCTGGACTATATAAGAAATTAATTGTTGATTTATATTTTGTGTCTTCTTAACTTGCTCACTTAAAATGCCTAAACGAAATAAAAAAAAAACACAAAAAAATTATACTAATAATTACTAAATATCGAGCAAAACTAGATGTTTAGATATTATTATATAATACGAAATTTGTCTTTGATTTTACTAAAAGTTTACTAAAAAAACGCAATATTTTTTTTATAATATAGTTTATAAAATACTGCTTACTATAATAATATAAACGCAATGCATACACCAAACATTATTTATATGTGTGTTTCTATTTTTTATTTGTGAAATTAGTTATCCCAATTTCGTGCAAATAATATGGTCAGCTATTCACCAACACTCCGCTGCACACGCACACACAGAAAGACACAATGTACTCGCCGCGCCCGCGCCCCTCTCTGAGTGCCGTCCGACAATAATAAGTAGTAGGTAATAATAAGTACACGAAATAACTACATACATTATGATTCATGATTTTTCTTTCCATCACACTTTTCAAGCTTTAGATTGTTGACATTGAATTTTCTTTTTAATGTGAAGCCAATATTGTATAATTACTGATTTGTTAAATTAAATTTGTAAATAAGAATTATTAAACAGCTGATAACGCGTGATTTGATTAGACACCACAATATCTACGACAAAGTCGGCGTGTTTAAATGGTGTGAATCAAAATATTAACAATAATTTAAAGATCATAAACAAACTTAGTTTAATTTGCACTCGCACGGCGTTGTCGTTTTAAAACATTTTCAAAATGTCCACCGCCTTGTTCAATGCACTTTAATGACTGTTTTCGCAATTGTGGTTTTATTTTAGACAATACTGCAGTGTCACTTTTCACTTTTACAAAGGCAGTTATTATCTTATTTTTTATTTCCTCGACATTTGTTATCTCTGTTTTATAAACTAGCGATTAAATTCGCCCTCACAAAAAAAAGTCGAGTCGCGTCAAATCAGCTGATCTAGGAGGTCAATGGACACGTGCGTAGGTATTTGATGTGTGCTGACTGTCGCTGTGCGTGCGTAAATATTTGTAAAATACTATTTTAGCCTTGAAACAAGTATCAGTTTTCTTTAATTGAATGATGATTACTAATTTAATATTTTATTTTAAAAATCTTAATTCCCTGACTTACGATCCATTTTCGTTTCTATGAAGTGTTTAGATAACTGTGTGTAGGGTGACTATAATTTACTTAGTTCTATCTTAATTTGAGAAAAAAAAATGACCTACATAAAAAACTATCAAAATCGATCCAGTATCCGATTCTGAACAAACTACTTTCAGGGTGTGAATTAATTATGTTACACGTTGTATATGTCGGTTTATGTGTTAAAGATTTTGACAGGAGTCTACTGTATTTTATTTCTTGACACAAAATCTTCATTTTCAACAGTAATTTCATCAAAATGAGTTCATTCTTATTTGATACTCTATTCTAAAGATAGTGATTATATATTTTCCCAATCTACACTAACAAAAAAAAATTAATTGTTGGTCTAATTTAAACTGAACGTGTATAAACTGTTCGCCTCTTTATTAAGGCTTCTCTCTAGAACGCCAGACCCGATTTTGATGGCAATTTCTCTCGTAAATAAATAATATTATTAGAAGGACCTGAAGATTCTTTTAACCATAATTTAATTAAAATATTTTTCTTAAATTACCTTAAGGCTGATTAACGAAAATTTTTTTACAGTCCAGACAGGTAATTTAAATGTCACCAAGACATTATTTGAATAAAAGATGTTTGAGAAACCGTATTAAGGTTTACTATGCAGGCAAAGTCACAGGCCACATCTAGTACACATTATTATTACTAGACTATTAATAAATAACCTTTAAAATTTGGTTCAGTGAGAAATATATTGTGTTAAAACATTACAGTAATTCAAATTTGAACTGCCATCATGAGAAAAGGGTGGGAAAGGGAAAGAGCAACCATCTGTCTCACTCATCGGACGAAACGCAGCCATTAAAGACTACTTCACGCCGATCTATGCAATTTACAAATAAATCTCATTTCGTCTTATATTCATTTTATTTCTATTATAATAATATCTTAAATAACAATGAACTTTAATTAAACTTATGGTAAATCTATCCAAAATATGAATCTTCGGATGACAATACATAATACTTTTTTACATTAATCGAAGATCATATTAAAAATTAACACCTTTTTTAACATTCGACTATGGAGAGTAGAAGAAAGGGGAATAGACTCTGTGTATTAAAAAGTATCCAACACTGTCTACAGTAGCAATTGAAAACATTTTAAAAAGCGCCACAAATTATTAGAATAGGATACTAAAATAAAAAAGGAAAGAAAGATTTCTTTTTGAATTAACAATAAAGTCATTAAAATAATAAGATTTAACAAAATTTCATAAAAAAAACAAATCACTATACAAATTATTTCTTAAATTATTAATTAAATGACAGTTTACTACGTCAATAGTTGAGATTTAAACTACTACATTTTTCTTAACTACAAAAGTCAAAAACAATATTAATTTTTTCTTGGCATACTTCACTCTGTTTAAAATATATCTAAGTTCATATCATTTCCATTTCCTACACTAGTGCTATTTCAACGAATGAATGTTATAATTTACTGTTTTTATGTAAACACTTTTTCCAGTTATCGCCCATTCAAGAAGATGTGTCTCTTTGCGTCTACTCTCCATAGTAACCACTTTTCAAATGTCAAAATTAGTTATAAATAGATACAAGGATATTGCGTTCTTCAACTTTTATGAAAGTTCATTCAGAATAAACAAACGAAATATTAAATAACAAATACTGTTTATAACTTTATATTATTATTTTCTTAATTATTAACTTCGATTACTTATAGTTATGAAAAAAATAAACTTTTAGAAATGAGTTTTTGATCGTATTGCATCAAAAATACCGATTTTTTCATATTATAACCTAAATTTTCTTACTAAACATAAAATAAGTTATTTCAAAGCTATTTTAATTATATTTTACATTTAAATCAGACAGAACAATAGGATATGTATATATAGGTTCTAAATTAATTCTACGTCTCCATTCACACTGAATTTCTCTAATATTTTGAATATGTCAACGTTTTTATTTATTCTCATTTATTTTTAATGGGTTGTCTAATAAATATACATATTAAATGATCGAGGATCAATCGTTTTTCTGTCAATAGATGTCACTACATGTCACTTCACAAACTGTCACGCCCCGGTCGGTCCCTGTTGCTGTAATAACTCCCAATACAAACCACGTTTGCGAACCAATTCTTCGTGCGTACCACTCTCAGCTATAACACCTGAAATATATATAAATATACATATAAGTATTGAAACTATTAAATTATTGTCAAGAAACTTACACTACAGAAATAATTAGATAAGTAACCAATCAAAGTGAATTATAAGAAACTTGTCAAATTTATTCAAATGTCAAATGTCAAAAGAGTCGTTAAAAAAATTAAATTCTCATTTAAGTATATCAAAAAACAAAAATCAATTAAATCTTTTTCAATATTAATGTTATTAAAAGCTAACAATCAATACGTTTTCTTTTACAATGAATGTGTATTTCAAATTTATTTAATTCACCTTGCATATGTTACTTATTTGTTAGATTGTTAGATAATGCACTTTATTTTTATTAATATCTTTAACGACATGAGTTAACGACGATGAATTCCAGTGTACGGAAAAACCAATATTGATTTATGAGGCACTGTAAAAACTTAGACATATATGTAAAAATATAAAAACATAATTGTAATAAATAAATAATAAATAAATTTTACCTTTGTCCACTACACATATAAGGTCAGCATGTCTGATTGTGGCGAGTCTGTGTGCTATGATGATGGTGGTTCTGTCTTTGGAAGCCACTTCCAAAGCAGCTTGGACAACCTGGTGATTAAATAGTATTTAATCCTTACTAATATTATAAATGCGAAAATAACTGTCTGTGTGTTACGCTTTCACGTCTAAACCACTGAACTGATTTTAATGAAATTTGGTACAGACATAGAGTTGATCTTGAGAAAGAACATAGAATAGTTTTTATCCCAGACTTTTGAAAGGTGCTCGTGGAAACGCGATATAACCGAACTCCATGCAGGCGAAGCTGAGGCCGGAAAGCTAGTAGTGTCATATATGTAAGGTTATTTAGTGTGTTATTTTAATTACCTTCTCGCTAGCAGCGTCTAAAGCTGAAGTTGCCTCATCAAGTAGTAAGACTCGAGGGTTCCTGATGAGAGCTCTGGCGATGGCCACACGCTGCTTCTGACCTCCAGACAGGGCAGCACTACCAGCTTCTAATACGGTCTCGTAACCCTTATAACGATTTATAGATGATATTATAATCATAGAATCTAATTTGGGTGAGGTTTAATTCTTTTAAATAAAAATAATATCTTCAGATTACTACGCGTGCTTTCTTTTTGAAAAAAACTACATTCTCCCGACGTTTCAGTTACTTTTCATCAACCGTGATCATTAAGACGAGATGTGAATGTCTGTCAGTTGGTCTTGTTATTTATCTACCGCTATCGACTTCTTAATTTTCTGGCGTACTACTCTTGATGTATTTAATTCTAAGAAACTCATGCCCAAAGCACACAAGCTTTCATTTTTATCCTTTAGAATATATTTATACAAGTTAAAGAATTTAGTGTTTTTTACTCTTTATGATAAAAGGACTTCTCAAAAATGTTAATGTCAGTTTTATATAAGCATCTCTAAATAACTGTCACGAAATTTACACGTCAAAGGAGAAATAATTCTATAAGTATCCAATTAAAGCGAATTACATGAAACTACTATAAATTTATACAATTAATTGCTATCCACATATTATATTTGAATTAGTTAAAAAGAGATTCATGCAAGCATGGAAATTAAATCCTACTAATATTATAATTGCGAAAGTTTGTGAGTGTGTGTGTATGTTTGTTACTTCTTCACGCTCAAACGGCTGAACCGATTTTGATAAAATTTTGTATTCAGGAAGCTGACGTCCAGGAATAACATATAGACTACTTCACATCCCTGAAATCCCGAAAATATATAAACTATGCATAACTTAGGCGGTGATGCTACTAACTCACCGATGGTAGGCCGGCTATGAAGGCGTGAACATTAGCCATTTGTGCAGCAGTAACTATCTCTTGTATTGGTACTTCTCTAGTATTGTCTCCGTATGCTATATTCTCTCTGATGCTCCTCTCAAACATCACAGGTTCCTGCTGCACCAGGCCCAACTGACTACGTAGCTTCTTCAATGTCAGAGACGTTTTTATATCCCTGCCATCTAGCGTCTGTTTGAGGGAAACACATATATATAGTACATATACGTAGAATAGTTGCTATTGTAAGAAAAAATTAAATGAAACTAAAATTTTCGGATTAAAATTCATTAAGTACGCGATATAGTTGAAAATATTAGTTTAATTTAAATTTGAACTCGTGAAATACTAGATCTAATTATAAAAAATACTTTATTCTTTAAAAGTCATATCACTAGGAGAAGTAGGACTGTTTTTCCTGATAAAATAATACTTTTGATCACATATATTGTAAAATTCAAAAATATGAGCTGATTTTCTTAATAGCAAAAAGAGTCTTCTCAATAACTGACTCAATGAATAAGTTAAAATATGTAAAGTATATAATAAAGTATATGTATACAGACTTGAGAGTATATAACGAAGATAAACATTGCAAGTTATTTTAAATTTAAAAAATATAAGAAAATATTACATCATTTACTTACATAATAACAAAATTACTGTGAGTCTAGTTTTATTTGAGACTACGAATGTTTATGGAAAAAATATGAGTTATTCCAACACTATAACTACAAAAAGGGAAAATTTAATCTAGATTATCATTACTTTTTGCACCACTAAGTTACAAAAGCCATATTTTTGCATTTAAAACACTGTATTCTTAATAAAAGTTTGAATTATCAGAGAAAATTACTTTGTTCTAATAGTTTATTATACATAAACTATCACACATGATACCATTATGGTATATACATAACTAAAAAACATCCATTGTGTTGTAACGATAAAACTATGTATCCGTTCTAAAGTAATATTTTCGTATATAATAAGCATTTTTATAACTTTGATTACATGCTCCCTTCGCTTCGGTTACTTTGCAACTGCGAATTGCGATCACGAGCTAATGAGATAACATTACTATCATCATCATCATCAGCCTATCAGAGCCCACTGCTGAGCTGCCTCTTCTCACAGGGAGAAGGTTTGAGCATTAATCACCACGCTTGCTTAAGACGGATTGGCGATTTCAAACTTATAATTTGGAATTATAAGTCCATGTTTCCTCACGATGTTTTCCTTCATCAGTCAGTGATGTCTAAATACTCTTATAAAGTACATATGACTCGGAAAAATCACTACATTACTATCAGTTCTGTCGTAATACTCACCACATTACCGCTGACAGGATCGTAACTCCTCAATAGAAGATGCATGATGGTAGACTTCCCGCAGCCCGAAGGTCCAACTAATGCCAACGTACGACCCGCGGGCAGGTCCAGGGAGAGACCTCTCAACACCGTCGTCTCAGGACGAGTTGGGTAGTAGAAGTGTATGTTGGAGAACTTCAGATTACCGGTGGAAGTCTGGTGGAGAAGTTATTGTAATGTTATAACGTGTACGTGTATAATCTGCAGTAATTTTTTGGTTTGAAAAGAGTGAGAGAGAAGAAGAAGAAATATACTTTATTGCACTCAAAATTATAGGAAATAACATTACATATAAATACAGAAAATTTAAGGCAAGGGCGGCCTTATCACTACAAGCGATCTCTTATAGGCAACACAACAAATTTTGTAGAGACGGTAGTACATATTATGACATATACATTATACAAACAACGTAAAATACATATACATATACATACCAGAGTATGCATACACACAAATAAATATACATACATACATACAAACATACATAGATGGTCTATGCTTTCGGTCTAGCACTATCTCTTTCCTCATAGATGATTCTTGTATATTCGAGTAATGAATTAAAGAGAGAGATAATGATAGACCGAAACTTCGTTTCCTCTCTTTCTTTCGGAGTGCCACAATTCTCATCTCTAAGGCATGTCCATTAGTATATATCAATATTTATAGCCCACTTCCAAAAAGGAGGTTGTTAATATTCTGCGTTTGTTTTAGATACCGAATATCTTTCGACTGGAAAGCGATTTTAATGAAATTTTTTGGGTGTATCAAAATTTATTCAAAAATCTAAATTCATGGATAAATTATGTTAATATAAGCAAACACACTTTGTTTAAGTTAAATGCTATTTACTCATTATACTATTTGCTAATCAATCATCTTTTAAGTCCACAAGTCTTATTTACTTTTTATATACATATTTATATATTTGTTTTTCCTTATATATATTGTTAATGGATATTAAACTTACCCAATCGTCATCTACAGCGGTGGGTTCCGTGATAACTTTAGGTTTTCTTTCCAAGGCGCTGATGATTTTGGCGCTCGCCCGTTTACCGGCGAGCACTGTTGGCACGTAGGATAACGCTTCCGCAAACATCCATGAACCGAAAATCAGTTCTTCAGACACCCTAAATTGGAATTAATATTAATTTCCATAACCATTATGAGATCCAAGATTTTTGAGAGTATTCATTTAAATGAAACTAATAGTTTTCGGATCACAGGAATCTACACCGTGATCACAGTTGATGAAAAGTAACAGAAACGTCAGGAGTATGTAGATTTATCAAAGATAAAGTCACGTAGTATATCCGAAAAATATTAGTTACATTATATAACCATTACTTATTTTGTTAATATATCCATTATAACAGATTCAAACAGGAAAAATTTGGGTATCATGGTCCATTTTTCTTGGTAAATTTTTGGTACCATAAACAAGAGACAAATTTATCAATATATAAATACAAAAATGAGTATATTAATGCACCAGGATTTGTCTGATACTCACAATATAGCGTATTCATACGGCAAGCCCTCTCTGGCCACCAGGTATCCTCCGTATGCTAGTGAGAGAGCGTACCCAACCATCGGCACGGCCATACATATACCGTACACCGGACCACGCATGTACAGAGTCAACGTGGAAGTCCGTTGTAACTGTTCGGAGAAACGCGACAGTATCGTGCGTTCAACACCTGTGGAAGGGTGTACATGGGCAGTTAGTTAATAAAGTTCAGGTAGATTAGATGGTTAAAAAATACTGTAACTTTCAAGTGAAGATATAGAAAGTTTTTTGCGAATCTTTTCAAACTTTAATTTTTTAAAAATTCAATGAAATTCTTGTTAATGAAGTCAAAGATGAAATAATGCGAGAAAATTCCAGTCACGAAGTTAGCTAAATTCCTTCAAATTTTCCAAAAGCATGCTTTGAAGACCAATAATGTAAAATTTTAGGCATAGGCATAGGAACTATCAATATTTTAATAGAATAAAGATTGTATCATAAGACATATATTCCTATATCTTATATATAAAATTCTCGTGTGGCGGTGTTAGACAGAGAACCCCTCCGAAACGGCTGAACCGATTTGGATGAAATTTTGTGAGCATATTGAGAAGGTATGAGAATTGGGCCAACATCTATTTTTCATACCCCATAAGGGTTGTTGACCCTTAATTTTTTTTTCGGACGAATTTTTTTGTTTTTATTTTTTATAATGTAGCATCAAAAAATACATACAACCCAAACTTTTTACTTTTTCATTACCAACCCCTATTTTTATATGGCCAAACAACGTTTGCCGGGTTAGCTAGTATATCTATATATACAGGGTGACTGGTGAATTACTATCGATATTTGAGGACGTGATATTTGACGATCATATATGACAAAATAAAAATTAATATAACATAAATATTAATAAACTTCTAAGTAAAGTTAATCAAAAGTTATGTAATTAATTACGCATCGTATGAACACCCTACAGATTAGGTATACACACACACTCACACAAACGCGGCGGCGGCGTAGTGTTGTATCAGCACGCCGCCGCACGCGTCCACACTTGGAACACTTGGAACGTGTACACACTTTATTTATTTATACGGAAATTTGGTCAAAAATTAAGTTCCTATTTTTTTTACATAATTCGAATGAGAATCATGTACCGAGTATGCTCCTTAAATATTGATAGTAATTCACCAGTCACCCTGTTTATGTATACTGACCCAAGCTGTGTATTGTTCGTATATTGAGTACAGCCTCCGTAGCCAGTTGTGACGCATCTTCGAGCTCATCTCTGTCCTTTTCCTCACACTTCCTGGACGCCCAGCTCTCCAGAAACATACTCACTGTCACCTATCAGAGATAATAATATGATACTATTATTATATATAATACTAGTTTTTGCCCGCGACTTCGTCCGCGTTAGTTTGGTCAAGAGTAATATATGTAGGTATAGCTGACCAGGCGAACTCTATACCTCTACCTCCGTCTCAGAGGCCATAAATAATCAGGTTTTTCCTGTTTCAATCAAACAGAATGATTGACATATTAGTTAGTTGTCAAATCTAATGTCAAAAAAAAACGTTTGTATGGGAAATAGAAAAGGGCTGTTTTTAGGGTTTTCCTGGCAATTATTCCAATTTTTCTCACCTTTTATACCTTCCCTGGACTTCCAGGAGTATTTCAAGACTAAAATTAGCCAAATCGGTTCAGCTGTTCTCGAGTTTTAGCGAGACTAAGGAACAGCAATCCATTTTTATATATATAGAAGATAGAAGATTTAGGAAACATATTAATTTGAACCGAACCTTTAAATTCTCGAAGTGACGTTAAAGCGATGACATTTGGGGTGTGTACTTTTATGCGGGAATGTATTTTATCAACACGACTTGGGTTTTTGTTAATTTAAGGTGTATTGGTTTAAGATATTTTTATATTTTTTTTGTTCAAGTTAAGTTTTGATTTGTTATTAAAAGCACTAATAGCTTTATAAAAAAACTTAATTTTTTCATTTTGTTAGAATCCTAAATCTATAATTAATATATTGGAGTATATGCCAAATGTTTGGACATTAAAATGACTAAAATTCATTATAGCAATGAGCCATAATTGTATTTTTTACTAGATTCACTAGTTTAGTCCTATAATATATGTGTAAATTAGATTAATGCTTGTATTCTTCATTTTCAGTTGGAAAAAATAATTATATCCTATATTATACCACAGATATTTTTCTGTCATACAGTTTTTGTCAAACCAATAAACTAAATTTGAGAAATATGTATAATATTCTCACACAGGGCATGCACAGAAGACTGACGAGCGTTATTTTCCAGGAGTAAGCCATAGCGATCACTACAGCTAGGAACATGGTCCCAAATCCTTGTAACATCACACCCAAACCGGTACCTGAAATAAAATGGAAAATTATTTACTATTTACATATATTAGATTAAATTTTTGTTTAGTAAGATCTAAGGGTTTCATATAAATAAAATTAATATTTTTCGGATTATACTTTGCTTGTTTTATTGCACAAACTACATACTCCCGACATTTACGGACAGGCGAGATATCTGCCTATGAAAGTTTTTAGCATTGTAACTGTAATTTATAACCAATATATTTCCTTATTATTATTTATTATTTAAATAAAACAAAGGTGTATAAATTAACCAAAACTTCGACTTGTTTGTAAGACTGTAATTATAATGGGATCAATCTCTTTCAATAAATATATGATGAAGACAAATTGAGTTATTATTATTATCATAATCATTATTATTATTATTTTCTCTCACCAGTCCCTCGTTGAACAGCAGCGCAGTCTGTAGCGAGTCGCGCACACAGCGAGCCCACTGAATTCTTAGCAATGTCAAACCATCCTTGATCCTGTGACATAATGAAATATATAAATACATATATTAATGAAACTAAGTTTTTTGGATACTACGTGATAACGTAGGAATTATGTGGGAGTAAGAAGTATGACAGCTAAATTTGCCTACAACCTACTAAAAGACTTGGGCCTGTCCAGAACTAATATCAGTTAATTCTTGGAACGTACTTCGAAGACAGCCCTAGTTGGTTCGTTTCAAATTTGATAGAGAGAGGAGATTGTACGGTGGAGTCGAGCGTTTAACGTTAGATAGGGGTCCCTTAAACCTACACCTGGGTCACAAGTCCCAGTCACTGTTGAAGCTCCTCTCACTACAACGATGGACCCGACACACGCACCGTGAATACATGGAATGATGAGAGGTTTCGTCTCTTAAATAATCAAACACGCGTGGTCTCCAGAAAGCTTAGTTTCCTTTCGGTCTATCAATATTCTCCCTAAACAAGCTTCAAAACTTAAAAATATGAGAAATATTTAGACATAGGTAATTAGGTATACATAAGATGACCAATTCCATTTAGGTAATTTATCTTTTGTACTCCGTTTCCAAATATTATTACGGTTCCACTTAACCAATTAAAACTGACCCCTCTATTTCGTATTAATTAGTTCATCTCACCTGTTCCAAATAGTTCTTAAATGTGAGAGTTCTAAGTCTGTTGGTTAGTTTTGAACCAGCCAATCCCAGAAGCCAGGTCTGAATGAATGTTATGAGTCCACTCAAGACAGCACAACACGCAAACATAGCCGCGTAGATTTGTGATTGCTGGAGTATTGTCTCTGAATCAGCATCAGCGAATATCTGGAATAAAATTATAGGAAATATTAAATTTTGCCTTTTATATCTTGTGGATCATGTAATGAAAGGCAATTGAGTATAGATATTTGTATTGTAATATAATTTACAATATTTAATTGTTATGACGATTTCAGTTCGACGGTAGAATGGCGACTCTCCGACAGATCATATTGTAATAATGTATTAAATTTGACAATGTAGCATATCGAATATCGACTTGCTTCTAGGTGGCATTAGGGACGGTGATTTTTGCTTACATTAATAAAAGATAATACATAGGCACAAAATCAATACAGTAATCAATATTAATAAGTCTTATTGATGATTCTCCATGTGAGAAGAGGCCGTTGCTCAGCATTGGACTTTGATAGGCCGATGATTATGATGATTGAAGTTTTATTTTAACCTTATTACCTAAATAGGCAGTTTAAATCTAAATTAAAATACTTCATTGCAAACAATGTATAGAATTAAAATTTTATTGAATGTTTTGGTAAACTTATTATATTCCTATTTCTGCCAAGGTCCATGGTTCTAAAAGAGATTGAAAGTAAGTGAATAATTTGGACAAATGTTATTCTTTCCTTTGTTTGTTGAATTTGGTCTATATACCAATAATACTTCTGCATATCTGTTTACTATTAAATGGTTTTATGTATAAATAAATCTAAAGGTCTTCCCCTTTTCCCACCCTTTCCTCTCTCTCTACCCCAATCAAGGTCGACAACGCATCCGTAAAAATATTTTGTGGATGTCCATGAATGAATATACTACTTCCATCAAGTAGGCCGTCTGCTCGTTTGCCTTTGTCATAAATAAAGGTCACTCACCCCGAACATTTTGGACAGAAGAAGCGCGAAGGCTGGAAAACTGCAACTGATGATTAATGACGCTAGTATTCCACCAGCTAACTGAGGTAGCTCCTCTCTGTTGAAAGATATTAACTTCCACATGGACACCGGTTCCACTGGCTCCTAGAGTAAACAGAATAATTATATGACGTCATTTACAATTTAAAATAGTTGTATGAATGTAACTTATAAACTATATACTCCAGATAATTCTCTATTTTCTGACGTGCCCACCTCGTCTGACAAGATCACTGTTGCTGTAAAATAACCAAAACGTTTGGAGTGTGTAGTTAAAATAATAAACGCGTAGTAATACGAAAATATTAGTTTAATTTAAATGAATACTCGCGAAAGTCAGTGGTGGCTCAGTGGTTAAAGGGTCCGCCTCTCGGCCTCTCGTCGCCGAGGGCGCGGGTTCGATCCCGGCCCGGGCAAGTACCAATGTGATTTTTCCGAATCATATGTACTTTCTAAGAGTATTTAGACATCACTGATTAATGTTGATTCCCAAAAAAGGGTTGATGTCAGGCAGGCGGCCGGTCGTAAAAACAAATAGCCAAAAACTATTCACAACATGTAAGGCAGACCCTGGCTATAGCTGGGAAATTGCCAGGTAGAAGAAGAAGAAGACTCGCGAAAGTATTATATCTCATTATGGTTGTATTAAAATAATCAAATAGAAGACTTTAAGGTGTAGTTTTATCTTTTTATAATACCTGGGTATATTTATGTCAATCGTAAAGCAAAACTTGATTTTAATATTTATTTTTAAGTAATAGAACAATCGTCCTAATATTTTCTGTTATTGTCACAGGAATGTACCTGTATGTATGTACGTATGTAATTTAAAAAGTGTCATCAATATTGGACTTCATTTTAATGACCCAATATACTAAGTAAAACTTGCCATTCTTCTATTTGTTATTAAAAGATTACAGTTTTCTATTTTTTACTAAAAGATAACAGTTTTTTACTCGTAAATCTTTACAATCTCTAAGAAACGACAAAACGTTTCTTTGTAGTGACGACTGACGATGCAGATTCATACTAAGCATAAAACCGTTTAATAAAAACAAATCCTTGCGTTTTAAAAACCGTAGTCTTTGGACATAATCCGCATATTTATTATTGGCGCAAGTTGTATGCAAAAAGCTCTATATATACGTTTCATGTTACACTTCGTTTTATATACAGGGTGACTGGTGAATTACTATCAATATTTAAGGAGAATACTCGGTACATGATTCTCATTCGAATTATGTAAAAAAAAATGGTACTTAATTTTTGACCAAATTTCCGTATAAATAAATAAAGTGTGGACACGTTCCAAGTGTGGACGCGTGCGGCGGCGTGCTGATACAACACCACGCCGCATATATATAATATTTAACTCGTTCAATTCATCCTGGACTTAGACCCAGTTTCACCAATCAATGTTTGTTTAGTCTAATCACAGCATTTATTAACCAACCTTCAAAATTATAAATGTTTGTTAAAATATTTACGTCCCACGATGACAAATTAACAACGCATTATTAAACGTCATGTCAAATGACCGACTACCAAATTATTCGTTCTTGTTATAAGACGATCAAATGGAAACTATAACGTTTAATACGGCACGTTTGTAACGATGCACCACTTTATACTTTGATCGTATATATCCCTCGATACGTCACTTGTTAGGTAATGCGACCAAATTTTGTATATCGTTGGTTGCATACTATTAGCACACAAGAAGCTTTCTTTTCAATTTACTAGGTGTAACTTGTCAAAATCGTGCTGTCAATAAATTGTGTTATATATTATTGTGTTCAAATTATAAGAAATAATAAGAAAACTTAATTTTCAATGTTATAGAAAAGATGGAGGCAAAATCATCATAGGAAATGAATTTTAATTCACTTTATTAATAAGTACAAGGAAATAGTCGAAACTGACAAAACAGATGACGTTACTATGGTTACAAGAAATGAGGGCTGTGATTGGACAATTGACTTCTGATAATGCCATTAACATTGGGTTAGTCATTAGACGGAGCTCCAGAGCAGGAATTAATATTAGTGGCTAGTTAAGACACTTAAACGGACATTTGTGCGTGGTGGGACGCTCGATACATCTAACAGAGCATCAAACGCCTTGACACGATGTTACTTATTTAACATTGATTGGTGAAACTGGGTCATAGGCTTCGCTTTAAAATTAGTTTGTTAAAACTGATTTAACGATTTCTTCATCTTTTAAAAAACAAAATAGCATTATTTTAAGGACATTTTTACAGACGAGATTATTTTTATCAAAACACAATCAATATGCATCCCATTCTCATTTGGGAAATAAAGAAATAAGAACTGTTTTAACTGACAAGTATAAATATTTTTATATGAAGAAGTACAAACCTCGTCTTCCTCGTAAAACAAGTCAGGTAACTCTGGTATAGCTATGGACCCTAAGCGACGATTACCGCCGATGATGCTTTCACGGAGAGAACTCACTGGAAAAATACAATAGAATTAAACATTATCTATTTGCTTACTTCTTAGCACTCCCCAATTAATATTTAATAGTTTTTTATTCATAAATCTTCTCACTTTGTGGTATTATCGTATTATTAAATGAGAAACGGAAAACGCTTGCTAAGCAGTGTGATGCAAATGCAAATTTGTGTTAATTTTCAAATTAAACAAAATCGAAATAATACAGAATTTAAGAAAATCTTCATTTGAGCATGAACACAGAAGTTTTTTTCAATATTTCCAACTTTAAGTTCAATTAAGAATAATCAACAGTAAATTATAATTATCAAAAGTTTTGCTACTAAGTCAATATAATTAATAATTATGTACTAAAAACGGTTTTAAGTATATCTTCTTAATTCCTTATTAAAACACAAAACGTATGTAATAACTATACATTTTGTGTTTTGTAATAATAAATTTATATTAGTATTGCGGTATGTCAGTCGTATTAAAATAGACATTGTATATAAGACTACACTTTAAGTATTCAGTACTGAAACTATCCCAAGATCGGTAAAATTATCAAAAATCCCAACTTATTCTTTAACCTGAACATATTTGTATTCTTCTTCATATAATATACATATATGTACGAACCTGTTTTAATGGAACACATACTGCTGTTTCTTCTGACTCTACTTCTCTTGGTAATAGTTTCTTCTACCACCTCGTCATCCACTTCTTCTGCTGTCAAATTGGCAACACTTCTGTAATCAATAATATGCAGTTATAATCTAAGTTTATCTTATTACTTTTTGTATGACTGAAAAACCTATTATTATTATTTAAATGAAACTAATATTATTCGGATTAATATGTACGCGTTTTAATTATTTTAAAAAACTACATACTCCCAAAGTTTCCGTTGCTGAAAAGTGAAAAGTAAAAGTACTCGCGAAAGTCTTAGATATCATTATAAAATATATTTGTTTTATAGGTAAGATAGTATCTGCATATTTAAATTATGCTTAAATTGAGTATTAGAAATGTGGAATATCTATCAAGTCTTATTTGTTTTCTTCTTCTACCAGGCAATTTCCCAGCTTTAGCCAGGGTCTGCCTTACATGTTGTGAATAGTTTTGGCTAATTGTTTTTATGACCAGCTTCCTGTCTGACATCAACCCTCTTTGGGAATAAAGTCTTATTTTTTATGAATGTATAATGATGATTACAATGAACTGATATTAAATTTCTACTTTTTGCATTACAATACACTTCAACCCTGACCTGTGCGTCATGTCTTCCTGCAACAGTTTCCAATACGCTCCCTTCTTCTCAACCAGTTCTTCATGAGTTCCTTGTTCAAGAACAGCTCCCTGTTCCACGTAAACTATACGGGATGCTTTCACTATAGTCGACAGCCTGCAAAAGTTGTTTAATAATATCAGTTGTGGTGACCTAGAGCTTAAAGGCCCGCCTCTCATGCATGAGGCAGCGGGTTTGATCTTGGCAAGTACCAATGTGATTTTACCTAGTCATATGTATTTTATAAGAGTATTTAGACATCACTGACTGGTGAAGGAAAAAATTGTGAAGAAACCTGGCCTTCTAATTTCAAGTTATAAGTTTGAAATCACCAATCCGCCTTGAACAAGCGTGTTAATTAATGCTCTAACGTCTCCATGTAAAAAGAGGCCTTTGTTCAGCAGTGGGCTCTGATAGGCTGATGATGATGATGAATATCGTGTAAAATACCAAATGCTGTACGATAAACTGCCAACTGTGCGTTTTTAGTGATACGATGAATAACTATGTGAAGGTGACTAAAGATGAAATAAAAATAAAGGGTATAAAAAATAAAATTTAGTGATATTGTAATTAAAGTTCGAAATAAGGGCCTTTGAACTAACAAGTGCTTCTTGTTCTTTGTCAAGGGAATCATCATCTAGTTAAAGCAAAAAATCATGAAGTAAATTGTTTAAATTTTTATATTACCTGTGTGAAACGACTAGTGTGGTCCTGCCTTGGCTTGCAGAATCCAAAGCTGCTTGGACCTATAAATATATGTATATGTATTAATTTAATACTTTTTTGGGCACCTCGCAATAAAGACATAATAAAAAATTTGCTTAATATTGCAAGTTAATTCAAATAACCATAAGTCCTTATATTTAATATTAGTGCATATTCCTAAAGGAAACATTTCTTGAGCAAAAAAATATTGTCAGGGAAATACATACAGAAGCATAATACATGGAAATGTACGTATTTTTGAAAACAATTTTTTAAGGAATATCTGATTATGTTTAAATCATTGATGTGTCAGGGTACTTATTGCAATAAGTGCACTCGTATTGTGTACGGATTATATTGTATGTGCACTTATATAATTAACAATTACACACACACACACACACACACACACAAATAGACATATATATACATAAAACAAACCTGTCTTTCTGAAGCCGGGTCCAAAGCTGAAGTAGGTTCATCAAGCAGTAACACAGCTGGTTTCCTGACAAGAGCTCGAGCTATAGCGATCCTTTGTTTCTGTCCACCAGACAATTGGGCTCCACTCTCACCGAGAATCGTGTCGTAGCCCTGATACAATAGAGTATATCTTTATATATATAATTCTTCTGTGAGTGTGTATGTCACTGAACTTCTCTCAAACGACTGGACCGATTTTGATGAAATTTTTTGTATGTATTCAAGGGGATCTGGGAATGGTTTAGATTCACAATTTTGTCCGCTGGACAATGTTTTTTTAATTAAATTTTAATTTTTTAGTAGTTGTTGATTTTTTGACATTAGATTTGACAACTAACTAATATGTCAATCATTCTGTAGCACTCCAGAACACGGAGATTTATGGCTTTAAAGGTAAACTCCAAAAATATAAATAAAAAATGTAACAGATATTTCTTGATTATAGAGCGATACGAAGTTCGCCGGGTCTTCTAGTATTATATAAAAAACCATTTTCATTAATACCCAAATGGTAAGGTTAACAGGTAATATTATCTACAAATCGGTTTTTCATACAAAATTACTAACATTTTTTTATTAGACATACAAAATTTTTATTAATCTTAAGTTTGAAACAAATTTTTTGTTATTGTATTTGAATTGAATTAAATTTCTTTGCAATCAAGAATTACGTTCCTCTTATAATGCTGAGTCAGAATGAATGAGAGCAAATATGTCAATTATAGTAAAAAAAATATCAAAAACAAAATTACAAAAGTAAACCTTTTTAGTTAAATATCACTCACGTTACTAAGTTTGATAATAAATTGATGCGCATGCGCAATCTGAGCGGCTTTTATCATGTCAGATTCTGACACATTTTCGAGTCCAATGGTGATGTTGTATCTGATTGTTCCACTGAAGAGTACCGGCTCCTGGCCAACGACACCTGAAGAAGAGGAGGTAATATATATACAGGGTGACTGGTGAATTACTATCAATATTTAAGGAGAATACTCGGTACATGATACTCATTCGAATTATGTAAAAAAATAGGTACTTAATTTTTGACAAAATTTCCGTATAAATAAATAAAGTGTTGACACGTTCCAAGTATTCCAAGTGTGGAAGCGTGCGACGTCGTGCTGATACAACAAAACGCCGCCGCACGCGTATGTGTGTGTGTGTGTATATACCTTATCTGTAGGGTGTTCATACGATGCGTAATTAATTACATAACTTTTGGTTAACTTTACTTAGAAGTTTATTAATATTTATGTTATATTAATTTTTATTTTGTCATATATGATCGTCAAATATCACGTCCTCAAGTATCGATAGTAATTCAACAGTCACCCTGTATATATGGTTGTTCATTTCAGGCCTTTAAATAGATTCGTCGTATTAAACATGAAACATGATTCTATATAAAATTCTCATTAATTCGGAATAGCTTGCAAATTTATTATTGTAATAGAATTGGTAGAATAATTAATTTTACGACAGTATCCAGTGTGGCTCATTCAAACAAAATTAAACAAATAACTCACTAACTACAGAAAGCTGACCACTATTTATTTATGTACGTATTTTGTGAAAAAAGAACAAAAACCACTTCATGTAATTTGAAGATACATACTAGTGGTAAAAGTACTTCTATCTAATAGACGATATCTATTTTAGAATTTGTTACCTATCTATACTAGAATCTATCTATATTAGAGTATGCTTAACAAAACTGCGAAGTAAAATAGTATAATTCAATGTTGAGATCTAAGATTTTCGCGAGTACTCATTTAAATGAAACTAATATTTTCGGATTTTACTACGCGACTTTATTTTTGATAAAACTTCATACTCCCGAAGTTTCGGCTACTTTTCAGCAACCGTGATCATTAAGACGAGATGTGAATGTCTATCAAATCAAAAATAAAGTAGCGTAGTATATCTTAAAAATATAACTTTCATTTAAAATAATAAGACTCGCGAAAATCTTAGATCTCGTTTAGACTAGTATAATTCAATGTTATTTTACCGATACTTCTTCTATAGTGATGTAAGAGCAAGCTATCCAGTTTGTGTCCATCCAAGAAAATTTGACCGCTGTCAGGTTCATAGGCTCGTTGTAGGAGTTGCAGAAGAGTTGATTTTCCACAGCCAGATCCACCAACTAATGCTACCGTTTCACCTGCATTTACTGTCAGAGAAAGTCCTCGCAACACCTAGAATTGGAGTGGTTTATGATGGAATGAAGTAATAGTTAAAGTAACAGAAATTGTTTATAATAAATTGTTCTGGGATTTCTAGAAGTCTATGTTAACATTAAAAGATAATAGGATCACAATCTACAGAATTTGTTTTGTATATAGTTTTGTTTAAAAATACATGTAGGTTACATAAGAGAAAACGGATGACAATACTTGGAATTATAATTTAAAAAGAAATGAATTATGTACTTAGTTTCATAATTTACTTATAAATAGATTAATATTAAATATTGATTTATCAATATATAATGAAAAGTCATGTAAATAGACGTATTCCAAAATAAAAGAAAATCGCGTTAGTTACACTCTTTAAACTTATGAACGGATGTACCGATTTGACTGAAAATTTTCAAAGAGGTAGATTAGAACCAGGAAACGAAGAAAGGACATTTTTCATCCCGTTTGATGGAAAAAGAAATGAATATAATAAAATCCAAAATCTGCTAATTCACTGTCTGTAAGACAAAACAGGATTCGCCCAATCAACTACACATCTACTTCTGAAGCTGACGTAGACGAAGTTGCGGGCAAAAACTAGTGTCTAATAATGTTAAGAGGAAGCACTCTCATATTTTAACTCACCTTTACATCAGGCCTCGAGGGATAGTTGAAGTACAGGTTGTCAAACACAATATTCCCTTTGAAGCCTTCAGGTTTCGTTCCACTGTCTTCTAAAGCATTGATCTTTGACTTCCTCTCCATAATCTTGAACAGACTCTTCGCAGCGCCTTTCGCTTGTGAGAACACTTCTATATGAGGGTTGCAGAGAGTTATGTGCTGGGATGCCGTGTACGTGCAGAACATAATCTGTAATAAGATTTAATGTATCTTTTTTATTGATGAAAGGCATCTCCTAAGAAACAGATCAGATTTCAGAGTGCTTTTCAATGTATAGATTTTAAAAGCACTATCTACTGAAACACTTTTATCACCTAATCATTAAATAAAATCTTTTTGAAAGACTGAGGTATATAATTGCAATGAAAACAATATCACTTCGGTCACTGCCAACAAAAAATTTCAACAAATATCACAAATATACTATTTCAACTAGCAAAAATCAAAGAATCTTCTTCTTCTACCTGGCAATTTTCCCAGCTTTAGCCAGGGTCTGCTTTACACGTTGTGAATAGTTTTGGCTAATTGTTTTTACGACCGGCCGCCTGCCTGACATCAACCCTCTTTAGGAATGCATTAATCAGTGATGCCTAAATACTCTTATAAAGTACATATGACTCGGAAAAATCACATTGGTACTTACCAGGATCGAACCCGCACCCTCAGGCATGGGAGGCGGACCTTTTAACCACTAGGCCACCACTGACTAGCAACAAAACTAAAACTAGCAAAAATCAAAAAATATCTTACAGTAATCATGATGCCCGGATGATAATGTCCTTCTTCTTCATCTCTCACACACAGAGCTGTTCCGTAAACAAGAATCACTCCGTTCATTAAGAAAGTGAGGAACCAGCCAACCCCAGCTCCTAAGCCCGCCCAAACACTGCGACGGCTCGCAGCCTTTCTGGCTGGAGCAAGGGCTTTCGAATATCTAGTGACAAAACACAGTATGAATAAGGTCTTATAATAAACCTATTTATTAAGTTATTGCATGGCTTTGAGCGTTGAGACCGAATCCAGAAATTCCGTAACGAAAATCCCTAACACCTATTTTGTTCTTGTATGACATTAAATGTATATTTTTTGCATAATGTCGCAATACTAACGTAATATTTTGTTTCTAATGAATGTGACTTAATTATGTTAAGGATATGAGTCAGTTTTCATATCAAAAGACAATATATATCTCATTTTTCATATATGTTTTTTACGCGTAATTAAACTGTGTTGATAATCATACATAGAGCATTTTCTGTCCATACAATTATTATTTAAGTAAAATATTTATAGTTATAGTACCAGACCAGTGATAATACTTTGAAAGTATTCAAGCAAAAGGAGATCAACAAATTAAATCTATCTTTTCTAATCTTTTGACTATAGCAAGCCTTACTTGTCAACTTCTACGTGCTCGCCGGAGTATGCTCGTACCGTCCGTATAGCTGATAAAGCTTGCTCCACAATCCTACCAGCTGTTCCGAGAGACGAAACCTCGTCTGAAGAACAACGGGTTTGATACTGTAAAAGAAATAAATACACCTGTAAATATTACACTAAAAGTGGCACTTTTGGGGGACTTGGTTAAAAGATTGGTATTCTTTTGTATGTGCTTGGTTATTTACTGGTTTAAAATCTTTGGTATTACAAATACTGCATAAGGTAAGCCTTCAATTTTAGTGTTCTACTAAATACTGATTTTGAGTGGAACAAATTAAGGGCTTTGAGATTGAATAAGCTTCGATATTAAAAATAACTTATATACATAAAAAATATGTTAATTCATGTTTATCAAATATTAATTTAGCTGATGTAAAAAAAGACAAATAGTTTGAGATGATAAAAGTGAAGTAGCTTCAAGATATTTAACGATTTCATTTAACAACCATATACTAGGTTTCATTATTTGTTATCAAGGACTTCCCATGACTTGTATAAACAACTAACCAATTTTGCACAGAAAAGTTATAATAGAGCGTGCCAAAAAAACTAATTTCACCCAAATAAAATCAAGACTGTACACTTCAAATTGGTAGGTTTGAGAGGAATGTTGAATCCCAGTAACATTTATACGGAAACCATTAATTTGCAAACCTTGGTAACAGTGCTGACAGCTAATAAAGCTACTGGTATTACAGCCATCCCAGCCAAAGTGAGTTGCCATCCGTACGCAAGCGCTACTACCGATGACACTACTACACTGCTAGCCAAGTACGTCGTCATAGCTACATGTTGACCGACACCGTTCTTCAGCTTTTCTACGTCACTGGAAAAAGGTTTTGTTAATATTATAGAAGGAGATTAAAAGAGATTCAGAAAGATTTCGACTCAGCAAATTCTTGGAATTTCTTTCATTAATTTTTCGTCTCATATTATTTGTTCGTGGAACGATTGCAAAGTAAACGTCGGGAATATGTAGTTTAAAATTAATTGCAAACTAGTAAATCCGAACAATATTAGTTTTATTTCAATTAATACTTAGATCTCATTACAATTTATGATATAAATAACTCAATGATTCAGTATGAAGAACAATGCATTGGCCTTTTTAATAACCGCTGATTAAAGTATTTTATGGTACATATGGTTTTAATGTCACTTACTCTGTTAAAGTAGTCGCGAAATTCATAGAAGTATTTGTGTCGAAATATGCAATTTCCTGGCTCAAAACAGACCGTAGAAGATTAAACCTTAATCTGCAAGCCTGTGAAAAGGAATTAGAAGATGAGAATTGGGTAAATGAATTAACGAGAAAATATTGTCTCTATTTGAATTTGTAAACCTCATATATTTAGTTCTAAGATTCAATTATTACCAAAACTATCTTATATATTGTTTCTATGTACATATGTATATGGTACTGTTTTTTGATTTTCATAAACCTTTGTTTTTTTGCAAAATTAAATTCAAATGGTCTAAATTAATTTATTAATAGATCTCATCTGAGTGTACGTCTTCATTCGTAATGAGTTGCTCCAGAAAATAAAAATTGCGTCTACAAAAAACTACTTAATGCAAAACAAGGACCAATTAAATATGGTGATTCTTCTTCTTCTTCTACCTGGCAATTTCCCAGCTATAGCCAGGGTCTGCCTTACATGTTGTGAATAGTTTTTGACTATTTGTTTTTACGACCGGCCGCCTGCCTGACATCAACCCTCTTTTGGGAATCAGCATTAATCAGTGATGTCTAAATACTCTTTAGAAAGTACATATGATTCGGATTATGTTCTTCATTTATGTGGTCTCACCATTCTCATCGCTGCCCAGTTTGTTAGAGTGAGGGAGGTAGCTGCTGTAATCATTTGTAGTGCCATGATGATGACGCTGACTTTCAAGTAAGACACGGAGTCATCTACTAGCGCGTCCATGTGTTCGGTGCGGTTACTCTCGCCTCTGGTAATAAAAACAAAATTTATCATCAAATCAGCAACGAAATTTTGGACCAAAAAGATATATTGATGGAAATTTTATAGCCAAAAAACTTATTTTTTTTTGTACATCAAATCTATGACCGTCTAACCCAAATGTGATTTTATTTTTCATATAACATGACAATCAGTTAAGTGATAATATTTTTGTATAAACTTCTTCGTGAAAATACTTAACAGAATCATCCCCAACAACAAATGTGATCGATTTTTTTTTGTATTTAAAATATTTCAAACTATAATTTTCTTATAATTTTTTTTTAACCTATCAGAGCCCACTGCTGAGCAAAGGCTCTTTCTCTTATGGAGAAGGTTTGCGGTTGGTGATTTCAAACTTATAATTGTGAAATTATAATTTAAATTAGTTTTTGCCCGCGACTTCGTCCGCGTTAATTTCGTAATTAGTAATATATGTATAGCTGACCGAGCGAACTCTATTCCGTCTTAGAGGCCATAAATAATCAGGTTTATCCTATTTCAATCGAACAGAATGATTGACATATTAGTTAGTTGTCAAATCTAATGTCAAAGAAAACGTTTGTATGGGAAATAGAAAAGGGCTGTTTTTAGGGTTTCCTCGGAAATGAATCATTTTTTTTCATCTTTTAAACCTTCCCTGAACCTTCACGAACATTTCAAGACTATGATAAGATAAATCCGTTCAGCCGTTCTCGAGTTTTAGTGAGACTAAGGAACAGCAATTCATTTTTATATATATATAGATTTAAATGTTTGTAATGCTCCAAAAAATATTTTATAATATTATACAATATCTCTTATTTTCTGTGAGAGGTTGGCACTTGAAAACGTTTTTAAATTCCGTAAAAGAATACATATACCAGTTTATAACTTACACGACTCTTCCCCCGCCGAACACATTGAGTACAATAGTATTTCCTTCCACGCTCTTCTCATTGTGCCTCTTAATCATCAGACCTGTGATCTCAGCGTACACGATGACCGAAGCCACGGGAAATATTGAACAGATGAAGCTGAAGACCGCCCCGAGGATTGTGGCTGACCTCTCAATCAGTGTTGAATAGCGCCACTGGAATTAAACGGAACATAATTCATGAGGTTAAAAAGGTTTTCTATATAAAAAATTCCAAGAGAACCTTTCAAAAGTCTGGGATAAAAACTATCCTATGTTCTTTCTGAAGGTCAACTCTATCTCTGTATCAAATTTCATTAAAATCAGTTCAGCGGTTTAGGCGTGAAAGCGCAACAAACAGACAGACAGAGTTACTTTCGCATTTATATTATTAGTAGGGATTACACACATAACTTTTGGTTTGTAAATGAGATGAAACCATTTATCATTCAAAGTATTCACCGTGCGGGTACCGAGTCCATCGTTGTAGTGAGAGGAGCTTCAACAGTGACTGTGACTTGTAACCCAGGTGTAGGTTTAAGGGACCCCTATCTAACGCGTGTTAAAAGCTCACCTCAACTGTCCAAGGTCCTCTCTCTACGTAAGCAAATTTGAAACGAACCTACTAGGGCTGCCTTCGAAGTACCAAGATTGAATTAACGTGAGTTCTGGACAGGCAAAAGTCTATTGTATAAGTTAGTATAAGTTCATCGCTAAAATAATTAAAAACAGTTTTATAATATTATAAATAAGCCAAGTCTATTTTGGCAATGAACACTCGTTTTAAAAATGAGGAAATATAATACTTTAGGCGTTTCCGCAGTTATAAATATACATATGTACATCTGATGTATATTAATCATTGAGTTCAAATACAAAATAATCTAAATCTTATCGTGTGACACAAAGGTCATTGCTTTATCACGAAGATGGCAATTTATAAACAGATTAGAAGGTCGGAGGAAAGACGTCCTTTGACCCTTCTGTCTTATTTATTTAGTTATTTATATGAGAACGGTGGCATGAGCAAACGGTCTACTTGATGGAAGCTAGTCACAATACCCCATAGACATCTGCAACATAAGAGATATTGTGGATGAGTTGCGAACTTTGATTGTGGGAGAGAGGAAAGGGTGGGAAAGAGATAGATCAACCGTCTCTTTCACTCATCAGAAACGCAAATTAAAGACTACTTCACGCCGATCTTCAGTGAGAGGGTGGTACTTCCCTGGTCAAATCATCCTATATTCGAACTTTAGTTACTTGATCATAACTAGGCTATACCTTAAAACTTGTTATATTAATAGTTATAAATGTCTTGGCATTTCAGAAATTAGGACAAAAAATTGGCATCATTGAGAGTTCCAACACTTCTTTCTCTGACTACAGTTATTGAGAATAATCCAGACGTAGTATAAATACTACTATAAACGATATAAAAAATTAAAGACAGTTTTGTTAAACCGAAACTACTTATGCGACTTCCAACACGGTTGCGTTTAACGTTTAACGCTCGAAAGGATGGATAAAAAGGGAATGCATGTCACTCAAACGTATTCGGAAAATCAATTGTGACTTGTAAGTAATATTAATAAACTTTGTTTTAAAGAAACAATAAAAATTCCTTAAAAATCAATTTCTACCCCAACTGTTTTCATTCCAATATAACGAAGTTTCATTTCTTACTCCACGTACAACTATTTTTATTTTAAATAAATATCATTATACGATGCCTTATTATATAATAAACAAATAATAAAGATGCTATATATTTTTGAAGGCGATATAATTGTTTTGTCACAACAGAACCGGTCTGAACAAGGTCGTGGTTTAAGATTCCTATAAATCGATTAATTTGTATAATAAACAAGGAAGGAAATATATTCTCATACATTATATAACTTTATAATATAATATTAAAATATCACTAACGAACTCACTCGAAATAGGTTCGTCGTCGATTTGTACGCGGCAGAGGTGGGAGCGAGAGGTATAACAACGAAATCTTTCTACAACCTACTAAAGGCTTGGGTCTGTCCAGAACTCACATTAATTCATTCTTGGAACGTACGTCGAAGGCAGCCCTAGTAAGTTATTTTCAAATTTGGTTAGGTAGGGAGAGGAGCTTGTACGGTGGAGGTGAGCGTTTAACGCGTTGGATAGGGTCACTTAAACCTACACCTGGGTCACAAGTCCCAGTCACTGTTGAAGCTCCTCTCACTACAACGATGGACCCGACACACGCACCGTGAATACATGGAATGATGAGAGGTTAAGTCTCTTTATATGCTGGTATAAAAAAGATTATATACAACATACAATTATGATGCATTCCCGAACTTGTAATGTTAAGTTATTTAAGTACATATAATACGCATGTCAAATTAATATATATTATGATAAATAAATATAGTAGGTATATATACTAAATTATTATTAAAGTATTCCCAAATTTTATTATAATGCATTCCCAAAGAGGGTTGATGTCAGGCAGTCGGCCGGTCGTAAAAACAATTAGCCAAAACTATTCACAACATGTAAGGCAGACCCTGGCTGAAGCTGGGAAATTGCCATTGAAGAAGTATACATACCAAAAAAGATAAATAAATTTAAAATTTCGATTATTTAAGGTGTTTATAATAACTTCGTTTATTTTCGTAATCATCTCATGATTAATGAAATTATCAACATCATGCTTACTCTAAGTCTCACCGTCACTACACACGTAGCGTTAACAGTATTTCATTCATAACTTCTCACATAGTATTAACGTAGTATTGAATGAGAAACGTGAAACTATACGTGTGTAGTGTGACTCATACTTGTTATTATTATAGATAATTCAAATAAATTACAAATACTTTTTTAACAATTATTGCTTCCTTTATTACCTGAACTAATTGAATTTTTCCTCTCCAATATATTATAAGTGCAATTAAACATAATTTATTTCCACTAATGGCGCATTTTACCTTAAAACAATAGAAGATATTTCTCCTCAAAATTCTCTTAAAAAATGTATTTATGTATGATATTTATATTATTATGAGGAAATAAATAATAAAACCTTGATTTATTTAAAGAAATACCTCAAGAAACGTGTTTAACTCTCAAAATATTCGAAGGAAGGCAGAAATACAAATATATATATATATGTAAACATTTGGTTAAAAATTGATATCAAGTAACGAGAAGTATATATATATATATATATATGTGTGTGTGTGTACATATAGTAAGTATTTGTTTACGAGGCAATCACAGACACGAGTAATTAATTGTATACATATAAAACATTTTAGCTCATTAAACAACCAGCCTTTTGTAATTTACATGGTAACAGAACGATACATATATATATTTTTTAATTACAAACACACACACACACACATAATAAAACATATAATTAAAAAATATTAAACCTAGAAGACCCAATAAAAATGAACTAAAAATAAATGTAGTTACATTACTTACTATATAAATAATAAAGATATGAAAAGTATCAGAGAAGTCTCAATTCACATTTATTTCCAAATGCAAGTAAATAGAATTAAATATGTACTTAATATGAACAAAATATTTGTAGAAAACATAAATCAATTGATAATTATATAATCATATATATGTAGTATTCGAGCCATATATACAGAGTATTTAGACATCACTGATTAATGCATTGCCAAAGAGGGTTGATGTCAGGCAGGCGGCCCGTCGTAAAAACTATTCACAACATGTAAGGCAGACCCTGGCTAAAACTGGGAAATTGCCAGGTAGAAAACATAGTATTGGAGCAAAGAATAGTAACATCGCAATTCATCACAAAATCATCACCACATAGTATGTGACAAGATCAATATGACGACCCTAACTTTGGATTTCTTTTATTTTCGACTTCACTGTTGTTATTCGTAATATTTCCTAAGAATTTTAATGAGGATAGTTGGTAGTCCGAATAGGATCAACCCTTTAATTGCAAGCTTGAAATTATAAGTGGAATACGCCTTTTAAGGGCTTAGTGATGGCAAGGTACCTATGTGACAACCAGACAGAAAGATAAAAAGGCAGAACAATATATAAGAAATTGGAGAATGGTAGTTTGTGTGTAGTTGTGAGTTACATATGTTACATATTAAAAAATAAACGAACATCGCCGGGCCGACAGCGTTGTATGGATAAAATATATAACGAGTGACGCCGCTGACTCCGCGGAACGAACACCAAGCCGTGTGAACCAGAAGATTCCTGATACACACAAGCTATGGAATGGTATTGCTATCCTAACATCGGGTCAATCATGTAGTCTTAGGTGTAGGTTAAGTTTTAATATGTAATTCTTACTATAAGTAAGTTTCGTAGTTTTCCTGGAACCTCCGGTTACCACCCTATATAATTCATTAATGTCTGTATACCTGTAGTTATTTTGTAATTATGGTTTAAGAGCAGATCTTTAGGTCTTTTGCTACCTATCTGGGAATTAGGACAGGGAGTAGCCGATCTCATGATGATAAGGATTGAATTTAAAGTAGCTCTCCAGAAAATTCAAGTTAAAATTGTCTTGAAGTGTGTTGCTATATTGAAAAGTTTGGGATCAATGTGTAGATTGGTGTTCCTGATATACATTGGTAGAGCATACATTTTTTGCAGCATTTTCTGCTTGATAAATGCTTAATAACGACAGTAAATGAAGCATATAGATGGAAATATACAGGTTCTGCAAATTGTTTCCAATATTGCTAGCATATTATTACGTGTACGGTGGAGGTGAGCGTTTAACGTTAGATAGGGTCCCTTAAACCTACACCTGGGTCACAAGTCACAGTCACTGTTGAAGCTCCTCTCACTACAACGATGGACCCGACACACGCACCGTGAATACATTGAATGATGAGAAGTTTGGTCTAGTCTTAATGTAGGTTATTGAATGAGATATCTCCTTGTTAAGTGTCAACTAATATGGGTTTGATAATAATTCATGTTTACAATATACAACAATACGTGACATCAAAGACTATTAGATAAATAGTGCATCAAAAATATTTAAGTATATAGTAGAAAAGTAATAAAAAAAATAATAAAAAAGTACGACAGCCAAAGAAAAACCTATGCCTAGTTAAGAAAGTTCCATTAATAAAGAAATAATATTTACATTATTTATAAAGAAATAATATAAAAAAGATATGAGAAATCTGAAAATACTTTTCCGAGGTAAATTCCATAGAAATTATTTGGAAAAAGCCAATTACCGACTTAAATCACGTAATTTTCCATAATTTGCGTAAAATGTATTCGCATATTATTTACGCATGTTTAAATACTTTTCTTTGTTTTTTCTAGTCTATTTTTGTAAACTTGTTATTTGAAATAAATTTGTATTTTTTATAACCTTACTCTGCCAGTGTTGAATCAAGCACAAGAAAACTTATTACTTTGTGTAAACCATGCATGAATTTTGCCAAAATATATATGAAAAAATTGTTAATAA